TATGGTATTTTCATTTTGCATGTGAAAGCTGAACAATGAATAAAGATTAAAGAAGAGTTAATGCCTTTGAATTGTGGTGTTAGTGAAGAATACTGAAAATACCATGGACTGCCAGAAGAACAAACTGGAAGAAGTACAGCCAGAATGCTCCATAGAAGCAAGAATGGCCAGACTTCACCTCACCTACTTTGGTCACGTTGTCAGCAAGCAGCAGTCCCTGGAGATGGATATCATGCTTAATAAATTAGAGGGTCAGCAAAAAAGAAGAACCTCAGTGAGATGGATTGACAGTGGCTGCAATGATGGGCTCAAGCATAGTAAGGATTGTGAGGATGGAGCAGAACCAGGCAGTGTTCTGTTGTACATAGGTTCACTATGAGTCATAGCTGACTCGACAGCATGTAACAACAAAGTCTTCTGATCCATGACCATGGTATATTCTTCCATTTATGTAAGTCTCTTTTGGTTTCTTATAGTAGAATTTTATGGTTTTCTTTGTACAGGTCTTTTGTGTCTATTGTTAGATGTATTCCTAATTACTTCTTTCTTTAAGTGGTTATTGTAAATGGTATAGTTTACTTGATTTCCTTTTCAGAGTTCTCTTTTTAGTGTAAAGATATCCAACTGATTTTTGTATGTTGATCTTGTACCCTGCCACTTTGCTGAAACTTTGAATTGGCTACAGTAATTTTCTTGCTGAGTCTTTGGGATTTTTTACATATAGGATCATATCATCTGCAAATACAGTTTTACATCTTTGCCAATTTGGATGCTTTTTTCTTTCTTGTCTTATTGCTCTGGATACAACTTCCAATACAATATTGAGTAGGAGTGGTGATAAAGGGCAGCCTTTTCTGGCACCCATTCATAACAGAAATGCATTCAGTGTCTCCCCAATGAGAATAATGTTGGCTATGAGTTTTGTATATATGCCTTTAATTACATTGGGGAATTTCCTTTCTATTCCTATTTTGTTCAGAATTTTTATCAATAATGGATATTGGATTTTGTCAAATGCCTTTTCTCTATTGATTGATGTGATCAAGTGGTTCTTTTATTTTATGTATGTGGTGAATTATGCTGTTTTTCTAATGTTGAACCATCCTTGCATACCTGGGATGAATCTCATTTGATCATAATGTATTATTATTTTTTTTATATGTAGTTGGATTCTATTGGGTAGGATTTTGTTGAGAATTTCTGCATCTATGTTCATGAGGAATATTGGTCTATAATTTTCTTTTCTAGTGGTGTCTTAGGTATCAGGGTTATGCTTGTGTCATAAAATGAATTTGGGAGTGTTCTTTACTACTTTCTGAAATAGTTTTGAGTACAATTGGTGTCAGCTCTTCTCTGAATGTTTGGTAAAATTCACCTGTTAAGGCATCGGGGCTAAGGCTTTTTTTCTTGGTAGTTTTTTAATAACCTGTTCAGTTTCTTCTTTTTTATAGGTGTTTTCAAATTTTCAACCTCAGTCTGTGTTAGTTTAGGTAGTTTCTAGAAATCTGTCCATTTTTTCTAGGCTTTCAAATTTGCTGGAGTACAGTTCTTCATAGTATCCTGATATTATCCTTTAAATTTGGTAGATTCCAAGGTTGGGCAATCTACTTCCATATTGATAATACCTTGGAAACCCAAGGAGGGGTCGCTATGAGTTGGATCTGACTTGACAGCAGTTGAGTATTTTTTTGGTATTGTGACATTGCCCTTTCCATCTCTTATTCATGTTATTTGCATCTTCTCTTTTCCTTTGTTAAATGTGCCAGTGGTGTGTAGATTTTTTTCTATTTTTTCCTTTCTCTATTATAGTGTACTTTGAGGCACAAGTTTTTAATTTTGAGGAAGCCTAATTTATCTATGCTTTGTTCATTTTGTTTTCTTGTCATATCTAAGAAACTATTGTGCAATTTAAGTCATGAAGATTTACTGTTTTCTTCTAAGAGTTTTATAGGTTTAGCATTGACACTTAGCTCTTTGATCTACTTTGAGTTCTTATATATGGTTTAAGGTAGGGATTGAACTTCTTTTGCATGTGGCTATGAAGTTGCCCTAGCACCATCTGCTGAAAAGAAGGATGAATACATTTTTGGAGGGAATGTTTGTTTTCTCTGGAAAAAAAAAAAAAAAAAAATTAAGATGCAAGGTAGAAATCATAACAAAATCGCTCTAATCAAGTAATAATTTATAAATTTTTTCATTATAAAATATATCAAACTTGGGACCCTTTCACAAGGGTTAAGAGCAACTAATTGTGCTAAAATGAGTGTAAAAATGGCATGGGGGGTGACTTCTGAGGATTAAGATCAACAGCTCAAGGCTGATTCCTATGAGGCAGAGGTCAATTCAAACATGTCTCCATCCTCCAACCCTCTTTACCAATTCTGACATTCAGTGTCCCTTCCACAGCACTCTCTACTTCTCTGCTGAGTTCAATAATTTGTTGCAATGGCACACAGAACTCACAGTACTCATGATTATGAGGTTTATTAGTGAAGTAACAGGTTACAATTCAGGATCAGAATTAAGATACAGTTATTCAATCAGGACAGCCTCTTCTCAGCACTCTCTCGGGCCCTTGGCCTCTCAGACCACTTGTCTTTGCCTGGATTGGCAAGTGTCATAAAGCTCTTTTAACTCTGCCAGCAAGTGCTCAGAGGCACCCTGCTCTGCCAGTAAACCTCCTGCCAAAAGACACTCAGCTTTCTTGCTCCACGGGCCAGGAAGCCCACTGCTTTGTCTCATGCCAGTCTCTTGGTTCTGCCTGCTGCCACTTTTTCTCTGCCGCTGCTTCTCAACATCTCTCGCCATCTGGTATCATAGTTCTCTATCTGTTGGATCAGTTTCAGCACAGGGATCTCGGGTCCAAAGGACACACTCCACTCCTGGCTCTTTTTTCTTGATGTTAGTGAAATCACGCCCTTTTCACCTTTGGGATGGCTCATTTAATGTGATGGTGCAACTGACCAATTCCATGTTAGGTTTCCAAACACCTTATTTACATCGTGCCCTCCCCCCCAGTGCTATGCACTTTATTTACATTATTAGCAAGCTTATCCAATTCTCTTGGTGGGCCACAAGCACCTCATATATGCATAGCACCAACCAGGCATTTGGTGGGAGTTACAAAGACTATGGCTGTAAGGGTCATATTAAGTAATTCACTTCATCAAAGGTAGTGATGAAAATATTTAGCATTTTTATGCCCCATTTTATCCAACACTTTAATTAAAACACTAATTTCTCAAAATATAGGATATATTAGTACATTCGTCAAATATACCAGCAAAGACACCATAGATACGTACCTCATTTTAAGTAAATATAGGTTAAAAACTTGGATTTATATAAGCAATAAATTAAAGGCAATTATTTACAAACAGGATTCCTTTAAATAAGATTTATCCTAGTATATGAGGTCATTCTATTTGCAAACAAAAAACACAATATTCAAACTTCTCAGGAATAGCTCTTGTATAAAATGCACTATAGTAGGGGCTACTTTTTCATAGCTTAAGCCATCATCTGAGGTAGAAGAAACAGAAGCAAAATATACTTTTCAAGGAGAATTTCAATGATAAATCTCAATTTTTACCTAATCATTAATTTTTCACAATTTTAAGTTTTCGTATTAGGATCAAGTGTTCTTTGTGAAGTCACTCGATATGAGAGTAAATGTTTGACGTACATAAGTGAACAATGTGCTCATTTCTTTTATCCATTAAAATACTCTTATTTGTAAAAGTCTATGTACATATATATTTTTCTATTTTTCAACTCCAGGTGAGAGAATGGAGAAAACTGTTCTTTCTATTATTCTATCTATTATTATTTAAGCTTCTCCTAAATTTATTAGAAATCCTTTATATAATTAAGAGGAATTGTTGTTATGTGCCATCGAGTTGGACCCGCCTCACAGCGACCCCTCCTTGGGTTTCTGAGGCAGTATCACTATGGAAGTAGATTGCCCAACCTTCCTTCCAAGGAGTGGCTGGTGGGTTTGAACCACCAGCCTTCTGGTTAGCAGTCAAGTGCCTTAGGCACTATGCTATCAGAGCTCCCTACATAAGAGTACAATTTTCATATTCATTGTCTTGACTATCTTTTTCCAATTTATCACATGGTATGGAATTCCATTATTCATTCAACATTGAAAATGTTTTGTCTTTTAGCCCCTTGCAAACACAAGTAGACTTTAGGAGCAGTTGAAAGAAAGTCTTCTCCCCATTTTTAATGAGAACTGGGCTTTCCCAACAGGAGTAAAGTGAACATCTACCTTATTATTTAAAAATGTTATTTCCAAGTTTAAGGACAATGTATTGTGAAATTATGTCACCTATTTCCTTCCCAGAATGCTTTCCCAGTTTGCTTGTGGCACAAGGAACCATCTCATGGCTCATGTGCTTACTTTCTGCCTGACAAAGTTTGATTGCTTCTATTTTAGAGCATTTGGTAAGGAGATTTTTGTGGTATTTGATATTTTGCTTTAGCTTTCATTTTAAACAGAACTTAATTTTCATAGTTAAGTAAAAATTTTATTCAAAGTTTTATAGGTATTCTGTCAAAATTCTTAACAGACATGAATTGAAGTGGTTTTAGGGTGTATAGCCTACTTAAAAAAGGAACAGATGTTTTGGTCACTCCTAATCGGTCTCAAGCATAGCAAGGTCCTCACTGCAGGACCAGGCAGTGTTTCATTCTGTGGTACACCAGGTCACTATAAGTGGGAACAGACTCAACACCACCTGACAGTAATGTTATTCTGTCTTGTTTTTAAAGTAGACCTAGTAAGTTAAAAGTAAGTAGTCCAGTCATATTACTCAGTCGTAGAGCAGTGAATTCAAGATAGGATATGTTGTCTGCTCCTACTGTGTTCTTCGTTTTGGGTAACTATAAAATGTTGCAAGCCATATACCTAAGTGTGAACAGATTTTATGATATGCCTAATCAGAAATTCTAATGAGTCAGAATTACAAACTTGCCCAGTGTGAATAATGGTCAGTTTATAAGATAATGGTAAGCCAAATTTTAAAAATAGAACCATGTTGACTATTTTTAGGAAAAATTTTAATAAATTTTAGGACTCTCATTTGAATAGATAACAATTTATTTAGCAAATGCCTGAATTTATTGGTTTGGTAAAACTTTAGCATTTGTAATCTTGTAAAGGTTGTTTAGTGTTCTATGATAAAGTTTTTATTTCAATTATTTCTGAACGGTGTTTTAAAGGATACTGAGGTATATCTTTAATTTTGATACTTAAAAAGCAAATTATTATATCCTTTAACAACTTTACAAAGTGGTTGATGGCACACACTTCTCCATTAAAGAGATGCTCATCTAGATGTGCAAAAAGATTAATATGCCCAGAAAGCTCACATAATATTTTCTGCTGAAGATACAAGTCCCTCATTTTAGGAACGTGTTTACAAATTACCATCTTTGAATGGGTTCTTATAACTTGCTCACAAATATCTATGACATGACATAGACTTTCTGAAGGGAAATACAAACCATTCTTCTTCTTAACATATAACAGTGACCCAATTTTAAAGGCTTTGACATCTGATGCATACAAAGCAGTGATACAATCCTCACAAGTTAAAAGAGCTGATAACTTATTAGCAATATAGCCAGCACAATATGTGAGATTTCGCCTATTATCTGACAGGTCCAGTAATGCCTCAGTCAGTGAACAATTTGACCAGTCGTGGAAAATGTCCTCCTTATGAAAAAGAGCCTTTGTAACGCTGCCACCATACTGATGTGGAACTGTGCAAAGGGTCAAGTCTGACCTTCGAGCAACTGAAATGTCAAGGATGCTTACTTCACTTAGGAAAATATCATCTTGAAATCTGTAACTAGTCTCCAAATGATTGTAAGCTTTTTGGAATGCCATGCAAGTAGGGCTTGAACTGGTTACTAGTACTTGCTTAAGCATTCTTAGAAAGAATTCCAGATGATCCTGACTAAATTTGTAAGTAAGAAGATAGGGAAAAGGCATGACCTTTGTGAAAATATAATTCTGATAAAGCCAATTTAAGCTCTCAGCATTAAGCAAAAATCCCAGGAATCCCAATTTTCGCTTACCCTTAATTATTTGGTTATTGTTAGTATCACATAAAGAAACAAAAATAGTCTTGGCTTCTGTTAATAGGTGATTTACCTTATTGTAAGTTTTAAGCAGTAGTGGTCCTTTAAGTCCCTTTCCGTAACAGTTTCTACTATTAAAGACATCAAACAGATTGTTAATTAAGCGTAAAAAATGGATGGTACCAATACAGTTTTGGAAAGGAGGCAGGCCTGCTGACAGGAAACATTCTAATGCACTGGCAACACTCTCACTGAAGATTTGGGCAGCACAATTAATTTTTATTACATGATTTTTCAAATTTGGAAATTTACTTGCGACTCTTTCCATACATGATAATTCCTGTTCCTCTAGTGCTACTAATTCCACAAGGTGTTGCCAACGTGCCGTACCATCAAGAAAATGGATGCTCTGAAAATGCTGAAATGCATTTCTTATTAATCTGAGCAAATGGCAAGAATCAAAAAAGTATGCGATCTGTTGACTAGAAGATGAAGGATGCTGAAATGTACACTTCATGTTGTCTGCATCGATACATATCCCCAATGCTTTTGCCATTTGAACACTGTGAGCTGTAGCATCTGATGTAACAGCCAGTACTGTGATGCCTATGTCACTCAGTTTGCCGATAGCCAGGCGAAGCAGCTGAGCTTGTAAATATCCAGATGCCCTGTTTACAAAAAAATAGCCAAGAGGTGTTCTCCAATGACCAAAAATACCTACTGCCATTAACAAAATAGTTTCTGAGGCGAGTGGTGTTTCATCAGCATCAAATTTGCCAAGACCAAAGTCTATAAATCCTTGTAAATGGTGACTGCTGGGGTCCCACTGAAGTTGTTGCTCAAGAGAGATACTCTTTATTATCAGTGAACAACACTGATACAGTTGATCTCCATTCTCTACTCTTCGTTGAAGAAAAGAAAAAATGTTGCTGTTGAAACCTGGACTGGGTTTGCACTTGGATAACCAACTGGAAAATACAAAAAGTAAAAAATAAACTCAAATGAAGTAATAAACAGATACAAGGGAAAATAAATGGTACCAAACTAGCCTCAAATTCCTTTGGATATAAAGCTCAGGTATGTAGCCAAATTTTGTGGACATTTTCAAGCATTCATTAATATGGTTATAATAAAATAGTAAAATAACAGAGAAACTGAATAGTATTTCAATTAAAAACAAAGTAGTGTTTTAAGATTCAAACTTACCACAAAATAATTTGTGAAAATTTCTCATGATGCTTGAATGCAAGATGTAATCTCAAGAACTACATGTTTGGCTTCATTAACTAATTAAGAAAGTAAGGTAAGTAATCAATTACCTTGGTTTGTTATACTTGATGTGTTATAATGGACAGTCTTACCTATAAATTCACTGAAATGAGGAGACTGTTGAATGAATTGGAAGGAACCCCTGAGAACATCTAGTATTAAAAAAAAAAAAAAAAAAACCTCACTGCTGAGCTGGATCCAACTCACAGTGACTCCTTCTTGGGTTTCCAAGGCAGTATTACTTGGGAAGTAGATTGCCCAACCTTCCTTCCAAGGAGTGGCTGGTGGGTTTGAACCGCCAGCCTTCTGATTAGCAGACAAATGCCTTAGGCACTACACCAGTATATCTACCTCATTTGATAGATTAGGACACTGAGGCAGAGGAAGAGGTTAAGTGACTGGACGCATATTGTGCTTGCTGTTGAGTTGGTTCTAACTCACAGCAACCCTATGTACAAGAGAATGAAACACCATCCTGCACCATCCTCACAATATTGTGCTGCTAGTTATGAACAAATCTGAAACTCAGCTTTCCTGTTGTCCTGTCCAGTGCTTTTCTCACTATCAACGACAGCTTCAAAATTCCCCCAAGAGCAATTAAGGTATCTGTATCTGCAATAAAGTACTGCATACAAAGTACTGCATTACTGTCTTCTGAGTTCTCTGATAGTATCACTGACCTTACCAGACTAATTTCTTCTTTCCTGTTACTGCTACCAGGAAGCTGTCAGCCACTGTGGTTAAAGCTTTGGGCTTCAAACTCACCAGCCACCCCAGGGGAGAACAATGAGGCAGTCTGCTTCTGTGAAGATTTACAGCATTGGAAACCTTATGGGGCAGTTCTATTCTGTCCTATAGGGTTGCTATGAGCTGGAATCAACTTGATGGCCGTGGGTTTAATTTGGTTTTATTACTGCTATCCTATGAGTGTAGGAATTCACTCGAAGACAACTCATATTACTGCTATTATCTGTCTTTAGAATTCTCAATCCTAATTTACTGCTTCTAATTTGTTGTCGGGGAGCTCTCGTAGCATAGTGCCTAAGGCATTTGAGTGCTAACCAGAAGGCTGGCAGTTCAAACCCACCAGCCAGTCCTCGGAAGGAAGATTGGGCAATCTACTTCTGGAGTGATACTGCCTTGGAAACCCAAGGAGGGGTCGCTGAGTCAGGTCTGACTCAATGGCACATAACAACAACAATTTGTTGTGGGAGCTCTGGTGATATAGTGCCTAGGCACTTGACTGCTAACCAGAAGGCTGGCAGTTCAAATCCACCAGCGGTTACTCAGAAGGAAGAGTGGGCAATCTATTTCCACAGTGATACTGCCTCGGAAACCCAAGGAAAGGTCACTATGAGTCTGATCTGACTCAATGGCAGTGAGGTTTTTTTTTTTTTGTAATTTGTTGTAGATCAAGAAAGGAAAAAGCCAAGGTTAATGTTGTTGTTAGGTGCCAGAGAGTCAGTTCTGACTCATAATGACTCCATGCACACGAACGAAATACTGGCCACTTCTGTGCAAAATTGTTGCTATGCTTAAGCCTATTGTTCAGCCATGTTGCAGCATGACATACTTCTCCAGGGACTGGTCCCTTCTGATTACATGTCAAAAGTATGTGAGATGAACTCTTGTCACCCTTACTTCTAAGGAACATTCCAGCTGTACTTCTTCCACAACAGATTTGATTGTTCTGGCAGTCCATGGTATATTTAATATTCTTCCACCCTGTTCACTGTCTTTTACATACATATGAGGCAACGGAAAATACATGGGTTGGGTTGGGCACACCTTAGAACCCAGGGTGACATCTTTTAGCACTTTAAAGAGGGATTTTGCAGCAGATTTGCTTAATGCAATATGTTGTTTGATTTTCTGAGTGCTGCTTCCATGGTTGTTGATTGTGGATCCAAGTAAAATGAAATCCCTGACAACATCAGTCTTTTCTCCATTTATCACGATGTTGCTTACTGGTCTAGTTGTAACGATTTTTATGTTTCGATGTAATCCATACTGACACTGTATTCTTTGTACCTCCGATGTAATCCATACTGAACGCTGTATTCTTGGTACCTCATCAGAACATGCTTCAAGTCTTCTTTGCTTTCAGCAAGCAAGGTTGTGCCATCTGCATATTGCACAGGTTGTTAATGAGTCTTCCTCCAATCTTCCAAAAAGACACTTTCTTCTCCATACAGCCTAGCTTCCCGGATTATTTGCTGAGCACACAGACTGAATAAGTATGGTGAAAGCATATACAACCCCGATGTATACTTTTCCTGATTTTAAACTATACATTATCCCTTGTTCTGTTCAACTGACCACCTCTTAGTCTAAGTACAGAATCTGCATGTTGTTGTTGTTGTTAGGTGCCGTCAAGTCAGCCCTGACTCATAGCGACCCCTCCTTGGGTTTCCGAGGCAGTATCACTACGGAAGTAGGATTGCCCAACCTTCCTTCCGAGGAGTGGCTGGTGGGTTTGAACCGCCAGCCTTCTGGTTAGCAGTCAAGTGCTTTAGCCACTATGCTACCAGAGAATCTGCATAAGCATGATTAATTGTCCTGAATACCCTATTCTTTGTGATGTTAACCATCATTTGTTATGATCTACAAAGCTGAATGTTTTTACATAATTAATACAACACAGATAATCATCTTTCTGGTATTCTCTGTTTTCAGACAAGATTCATCCTAACATCTGCAATGTTATTCTTTCTACCATATCCTCTTCTATGGCTTAAATTTCTGGTACTTCCCTGTTGATGTACTGCTGCAACCATTTTTGAATTATCTTCAGTTGTACTTTGATCCATGTCATTAAGCTGGACTCTACTTTGAGGAGGCAGCTATTCCCCAGTTATATTTTGAGTACCTTCCAACCTGAGAGGCTCACCTGTCAGCATTACATTAGACAATGTTCTATTGCCATTCATAAGGTTTTCACTGGCCAATTTTGTTGTTGTTATGTGCTGTGGAGTTGAACCCAATTCATAGTGACCCCTCCTTGGGTTTCTGAGGCGGTATCACTACAAAAGTAGATTGCCCAACCTTCCTTCCAAGGAGTGGCTGGTGGGTTTGAACTGCCAGCGTTCTGGTTAGCAGTTAAATGCCTTAGGTACTACGCTATCCTTCTTCCTAGTTTCTTTATCTGGAAGATCTATTGAAACCTGCCCAATATGGGTTATCCTGCTGGTATTTGAAATATCAGTGGCATAGATTCCAGAGTTACGGCAACAAGTAAGTCACCACAGTATGACAACCTGATAACCAAATGGTGGCCAAATTTAGTAAGTGTCTAATATAAGAATAAATGGATTCGGAGGGACAGACTGAGGTGCTTCTCTGTAACTAAATATGCTTTTGGGACTCCAATGCCTTTTGTAGGCAGGTTAATATTTTGGTTTTTTGGGCTATATACTCTAGGTATCCAAACTTTTATCCTGAATAGCAGACCTCTGTTTATTGAGATTTTAATGTACTTCCTTAAGGATTAAGGGCTTTCTAAATAATTCTGCTGGAATCTAGAAGATTCAAACAAAACTCACCCTTACTATATGCTATGCACTTTTATTATATTTCATCTGTCTTTCTTCCTGTTTCCAACGGATGAACTGCCCTTGCTCTTAATAAGGCTAGACTTTCCTCTGCGAGGGCAGCGGATGTTATCTTCTCTTGCTTACTCAAAGACTTAATTCCTGCAATTACCCTTTCTCTTATGCATCACCGTTTTCTTCCCTGTAATAGATCATTTTTGTCAGCATGCAAGCATGCTGCAACATCTGTCATCTCAAAAAACATCCTTTCCTAACCCATACTGAAGAAAATTTCTACCTACAGACACATTTTTTCTGCTCTCCTTCACATCACTACTCTTTGAAAAAGTTTATAATCATTGTCTCTCATATTTTACCAGTCTCCTGATGCTACCTCAACAAGGCTTACTTTTCCACTATTCCACTACAACTGCTTTTGTAAAGGTCATCAGTGAACTCCATCTTGATCAAACCAATAATCAATTCTTTGTCCTCAATTGATGGACAGTTGATGCTTGAACAACATAGGGGTGGGGGTTGGGCCAAACCCCCCATGCAATAGAAAATCCACATACAACTTTTGACTCCCAAAAAACTTAATTGGTAACAGCCTATTGTTGACTAGAAGCTTTATTGCTAACATAAAGTCCATTACCACAGTTCTTACTGTACAGTTATTAGATTTTCACACAAACGCACATACATACACACACAATACATGAGCTTATTAACTGTGTTGTTGTTGTTAGTTGCCATCGAGTCAGTTCCAACTCATAGTGGCCCTATGTACAACAGAACGAAACACTGCCTGGTCCTGTGCCAGCCTCACTGTCCTTGCCATACCTGGGACCATCACTGCAGCCACTGTGTCAACCCCTCTTGTTGAGGGCCTTCCCCTCCACTTTACCAGGCATGATATCCTTCTCCAGGGAATAGTCCCTTCTGACAACACAACCAGAACAGGTCAGACAAAGTCTGGCCATTTTCACTTCCAAGGAGCATTCCAGCTGCACTTCGTCCAGGATAGATTTGTTCGTTCTTTTGGCAGTCCATGGTATTTTCAGTATTCTTCACCAACACCAAAGCTCAAAGGCAACTCTTCTTCGGTCTTCTTTGTCCACTGTCTAGCTCTCACATGCATATGAGGCTATTGAAAATACCATGGATTG